GTTCAGCAGATGAACCTGAATGTTGAGGATCGGTTCACACACATGTAGTAGTTTCAAAAAAACTCACTTTGGACTTGTGTGCTTTGCTTCTGCTTCCAGGGATCGTATTCTTTAGATTGAGAGTTGGCTGACTCCCAAGAGGTATTCATAGTGGTGGGAATAAAATTAAAGGAGTAGTAGCTTTGATTAACTGTCAACAGAATTCCAGCCCTTCCAGTGCAGTTTGCTAAGGCAAAACTCACAGCATGAATGAGCAATTCTGCAGCAGTTCTTTGATGTAGAGGCAAGTACACGTCTCAATTTAATGTCTGCAGAATGTGGCCGAATAGGTACAGTTTGAAATAAGTAATCTAAATGACTTTATTAAATCATTTTAATACCACGCATACACCTAATAGATTTAATATAGATGTTGCCCATTTTGCTGCCGTTTTGCAGCAGCATAGCTTTGTTTTTATCCATCAGAACTTTATTTCTGAAAATAGCCATAAAATATAAGGCTATTCTGAACTTGGAAGTAGGTGAAAGCATATGTAATACATCTCAAGCTTGGGATACAAACTGAGACCCACTCATCTGGTCACATATATGGCTTTGTGTCCATTGAGTACAGCGAGGCCTATTTTATTATGGCTTACCATTTAAGAAAATAATTTTTAAAATAGCATAGCAAGGTAAAAATGGCAAATTAAAATACAGATTAGATCAGTAATTTGGATTCTGGACAGGTGTTTTTAACTGCTTCTTAACATTTCCTCATTTTATTTTTGGCATTTCTCATTTCGATGATTAATACAAGTGTACACGAAGTAAATCATAAATATGGGCAAGACTACTAATTTAGTATTTGGACTTAAGTATTACAGGATAGATTGATCTTTTTTCCCCTTTTGAATTTCCAGTTTTAATAAAATGACTTAACAAAGGTTGTCATTTCAGATTAAGTATTAAGGTCTTCGATTACTGTAATACATTAAAATCAAGCAGTTCATAATTGTGACCAAATTTGAAACATAGCCAAACGGTGAGTTGGTGAAAGTCCTGGATTAATCAGCTAGAATTAGAATTTGTTGGAAGTCTGTCAAGCTTTTGAGAACTGTCAAAAGTCTACTGCTGGTGCAAAGGACCTTCCCTCCCGTTTAAGTTTATTCAGCTACTTCATTTTAATGGCTAGTATGTTCAAAATCAAGAAACTGGACGTTCAAAAAGTTGTGAAACCAATTTATTTATTCATTCATTCATTTATTCCCAAAGCGTAAATAGAGTCATGAGGTAAGAATATAACAGGTTAAAGATCATGACCATTATGGTGAATAGAATGTATCAGTTCAGTTTATTAAAAATGTGTGTTTGCAGCACAGAACATACTTTCATCGTGTGTGCTGCTTAAAAACTTATAGGGCAACTTTTCTCAAAGTACAAGTCTTTTCTAATTGGATTCATGTTTCTAACATTAGCTTTACTTAGTCTACAGTAACTGTGTACTAAGTAGAAGGTAGTAAACTGCATTTTATGACATGATAGAGGTATGCGAAAAGAATCATATCTTGGGAAATATACGCTAAGGTATATAAATCATTTAAGCAAGCATGTTGAGGTAGCGTGTTCTTCAGTTTAGCAAAACTAGTGAAACAACTGATAGAATGAAATGTGAATCCTTTAGAAAAAACAAACACAGAATGAGAATAAAATCAGAGGTTTCTTTCTTGCAGATTGGAAAGAATAAATAAAATCAATCTTTTTGCATTGCTTTTTTTTTTTTTATTAAGAATAGTTGTGTATGTTAGAGGTTTGTTTTGTGTTTGGGAAATTGAATGTTTCTGGAGTCCATAAATAAACCAGAGAAAACTTCTATTGTTCACTTGCTGTCAATTTGCGTTAGAATCGGTGAACTTCCAAATCTGTTCCGTCTTAGATATCACATTTCTTTGAAAAGTAATGCTAACTACAAGTTACTGTGAGTGTTGGTAGACTTCTTGCCTTGCAGAGTAACAAGAAACTTTGTTATTTCTCAGAAAGTGTACAGAAAATATATTATTTGCTTTAGTTAAATACAGAATTTTGAAAACCTTGTATTTCTTTTTCCCAGGCTGTTCGCTGCTATGAATCGCTAATTTTGAAAGCTGAAGGAAAGGTCGAGTCTGATTTCTTTTGTCAGTTAGGTCACTTCAACCTCTTATTGGAAGATTATCCAAAAGGTAAGGTTTTTTTAGTATTTCTGATAAATGTCATTGGGGGATTGTCATTTGATGTAGGTGACACAACAGAATGAAAAACATTTGGATAACACACTGTTGTCTTGGTTTGTACTATATTTCAAAGCCCATAACAGAATAAGACTGACGATATATTTATGAAAACAGTCGTAGTCTAACTTCTTGTTCTTCTTCCCCCCTTTTTTTAATTGAAAACAAAACAAAACAAAAAAACAAAACCCAAACCAAAACACTACTGGTTCAGGTATGAATATGAAGTTTATTTAGTTTATACAGTAGTACCACACTGCCTACTTCATTTTTCTGGTTCATTGTTACATGACTGTACAAACAGTTGAACCCATGCCTCTGAAGGTTTCCTATGGGGGGTGGGAGACACAGGTGCATAGGACGAGAGCCTTAGTGCTTTCATCTATGTCCACAATCTCAACACGTAAGGCTAGGCTGAAAGTGTTCATTCAAAAGCAAAAATCTGCAGTTAAAGTGTTTCAAGTTCTATTTTAAATACTGAGTGGAAGAATGGGTGTAGGGGTTGGGGGGGGGTGGTTTATGTGCGTGTGGTGTTTTGGTTTTTTGGGGGCTTTTGGTTTTTTTGGTCTCTGCTTTATTAGTCTTTGAAATTCCTTAAATGTTTTTTGCCATCATTGCAGCCAGTGAACATAGCACAAGTGTACAAAAGGTTCTTTGTTGCTTGTGGGTCAGTAGAGTGCTTTTTTGGTAGTGGTGTGGATTCCCAAAGATACTCTGCTGTGTTGCTGACGGAGACAGAGGGCTAGATCTTCAGCTTGTCCTGTTTCCACTTCATGTAATGCTGGGTGTCGGGCCCGGTGTCTGATAGCTGCCTTCCTTTCAGTAATTGTGGGAGGTGTGGATCAGTAGAAGGCCTTTTTGGATCTTACTCTACCTAGCTAATTAGAACAGGTCAGATTATTTAATTTCTTTCATGGGATGTCTTTTTTCGTTGTGGTTGCTTTTTAGTTTTAATACGAATGCAATTCTGTTTGACTTTGTGTAAGGAGACAAACAACACCCCCATCCCAAAAATGTCTACTCCCACCCCTTTTTCCAAACACACGAAAATACTGGTTTACAATTACCTTGGGACGTAGAAATAGGGACATTAATTATAACTGATAGTAGTTCAAAAGCACTGCTTAGTGATTCAGGCTAGCTGTGGACCATTTCATAACTGTGTCTGTGTCCGCTTGTTCACTATGTGCAACGTAAAAGTGTGAGTTAGGGTTCCTGGAAACCCACCTTGCCTTCATTTTTTAGGTGACAAATGTTTAGATTTGATGTTACTAGGGAGGAATTTGCAGTTACTTAAATTCAGTGTGTAAATTCAGAAGGTTTTGAGTGGTTGAGGCATCTGTCTCTTTCTGTTGAATAGATGGAGAGCTTGGGGACCTTAGTATACCCACAACTTATACCTACATCCCATCCAACTGGTGTAATACAACCACTGGTGTTTCCAGTTCCAGAGACATGGGAAAGCCTGAAGGGAACGTGGCAATATGCTGGCTATAGAATTTCCTGAAGAATGCTCTGATCTCATGTTTTGATTTTTACTTTATTTTATTTTACTTATTTTTTAAAGAAAATTCAACCACCCCCTCTGCAAACAACTTACACTGTTGTTTCCGATTAGCCTAATACAACTTGGTATGATGTGAGTGCAGTATGGCTTATTGGATGTATTTTACTTAGCAAAGACAGTGCAGGACTGTGGGCTGAACTGTATTAACTGCTGTTGAATTGATAACAGTTAAGAGTGACAGGACTAGACATTGCTGTGGATCAGAGGCAAGGTTTACTGATGGGGAGTCTGCTTTGTACTGTGTATATGGTTTTAAGAACAAGCATAAAAAATACAAATGATGGTTGAAAATACCAGTTCTCCAGAACTGTAAACAAGCATGAGCAGAACTGTGTGGGAAGAAACATTCAGGCATTAAAAACCTGAATTAAAATACTTAGTATTTTCTTAGGTGCCTGTTTAAAGTCACATCTCAGTCATGAAAGAACTCTCAAGAAGTGAAAAAACTTTGTTAGTAAGGAAGTATTTAAAAAAAAAAGTGTATCAGTATTTTCAAAGAAATGGGGTAGTAGTGAAAATAATACTGGAGGAATTTTAATTGATAGGAAAAGGGAAGTTAAAGGGATTTTTTTTTTTATTGTGAGGGACACATGTTCTTGTTCTCAGCAGTTGTTGAACTCCAGTACCAAAGACCATAAAAGTATTATGCACAATGCAAAAAGGCATAAGTGTTCTATAATTATTTTACTACTGTTACTTGAAAGAAACAGAATGCTGGTGTGTTGCATTATAATTTATTCCATTCTATAAATTCTGTTACTTTTAATTATCATGCGTTCTATTTGCAATCATAGTTAAATTTTAAATGCTTGGGAACTCGAAAGTAAAGGGAGTTCAGAAATGTTTTGATCTTGCTAATGTATATTTTATCCAATTTTTAAGCCCTGAAGTTCCAGAAGCATAAAATGCTGAAGCAGGATGATCTTCAGAACTATAAGTCTGTCTAGTCTGAAGTTAGTCTTGGACAAAGTTGAGGAGAAGTTGATGTGTTTAATAAATTGGATATAATTAATAAAATTCACAAGATAGCAGCATGACTGATGCCGCATATCTATTATTTATTTAATTAAATAGCTTTAATAAATGTGTACACCTTTGTATATAATGTGGAAAGGTGTGTCTTCCTTTATTAAAGGCAAATGTGATAGTGTTCTTTGTTTAAAAACGCTTGCAATATAGTTTGTGTGAAGCAGAACAAAATTGTTAGTTGATTGCAGAAGTATGATCAGTGATCAAGATGAAGCAATGCTCAGTTGATAGAGATCTGTTAGGTTTCATGTGTATAGTTTCTTCTGTTTTGATCTGTCTCATTTTTTCACAAGTACATTGACAAATGTGGATCATTCAGTTGGGTGTATTTGTTACGTGTTAGTATGTTCATGTAGCTAATACCTTCTTATAAATGTAGTAAAAAAGACGGTAGGTCATTTCTTTAGAAGAATTAGGACTCATACCCTGGAAAAGAGGGACCTTGAGAAAGATTCGTGGCAGGTTGCTGCATGTCATTATTGGAACTAACCAGGCAAATACTGCCCTTGCTGCACGTACGCAGAGAATATCAGTTGGGGCAGGCTACCTTTGAATGTGGAGTAAGTTGATAGCTGATGCCTTGCTGAAGTCTAAATACATCTGGCATATATATTTATATTTTTAAATGAAACCTGTAAATGTTGCAGTAATTTCCCTTGAAGTGCATTGTGTTTTCTGTCACTTGTAGCCACTGCAGTCCAGATTTAATATGCTTTTTTAATAAAAAAGAAGCAATTGTCTCCAACAAAAGTTGTGAGTTTACATCAGAAATTACTGGATAAGGTTCTTTCTCCTCTGTATTATATCTGAGGTTAGACTAGAGTATCACAGTGTTTTATCCTAGCGTTTAAAATATCTGAAACTGGTCTGCAGCTTGTAGTTTTCCCAAAATGCAGTATGTTTGAATCACTGTTGTTAGCTTAAGGGTTTTCTCTGCAGCCATAAAATTGAGTTGTCTTGTTAATTGCACTCTGCTACTGTTAGGAGAAGGTCCTAGGCAAGGTATCAACCTTTTTGCAGATTTTGAATACTGTGAGCCACTGACTTGTATTCAGGCGATTATAACCAGGGCAGATTGATTCAGCTTAGCAGTTACGTTCAAGGTGGTTTCTGTGCCCAGCTTTCATCGTCTTGAGCATGATTGGTCAGAATTTGGCTTCAGGATTTCCCAAAATGAGAACGTTTGCTCCTCCCGGTCAAAACTCTTCTGTTTCCTCAGTGGCATTTTCTTCACTCTAATCTGATGTCTTCCTCCTTTTTTTTTAGTGAGGCAGCTATTCCCCCGCTGTTTGATTGTTTCAGAGGTTTCCAAACCTGTTGTTCCCTGGGCATGTCTCTAGTGGCACCCCCTGTCTGCTGGTTGCTGCTCTCTGCTTGGTGCTGGCACAGCTGAACGTGCAGCTGTGGCGGGAACTGATCCAACTGCAAATAGTCTAGCAGAAAAAAGTGACACAATTGCCCCAGAATGTGAAACGTCAGCCTCAGGTTTTGCCAGAGGAGGTTGATGAGTTGTCATGTAAGCTTTTGGACGCTGGCAGCATTGTGAATCCAACTAGGACTCCATGGTATATATACCTGTGAACTTTGTTTGCTACCGCATTCCTTGGGAGGGCTGGGATTTTACCACAATTATTGTGCTGCTAGTCTTGGAGGAAACCGATGCTATATCAGTAGTTGGAGATTTTTGAATTTTTTTCCCGATGACTCTGGTTTCCGTAAGGAGTACAGAGTGTAGGCAGTGATCGTTAAGGTTTGGATTCTAGTTGAATGCTGTTTAATGAGCTCATGGACTCTGACATCATCTGTTTTCCTTAGGGATCTTTATATGTATTTTGTGGAAGGGTCATATATATTGGCTGTGTTCCAGCCTGTGACTTGGAGGACAGCTAACAGTTGCACAAGTGGAGAAATACTTTTATCATTTGCCTGCTTGAATTGCTGTTCTCTGAGCAAAATTCCTGGAAGTAGAAGTAGATAATGCAATTAATGAATGATTTGGGAAAAACACGCGATTATTCACATCACAGTTACTAAAGCACAATAAATACTGCACTAAAATAATTCTTACTGCTGTACTCAAGTGGTGATCATGGTTTTTATGTACTATGTCAGAACAGTTTTAATGATACTTATTTTGTTTGTAGATAGTGACTGCATTGTCAAAAGCACTAATATAAAAATATTTTAAGTAATTTATAAGATAGTGTTAATTAGTCCAAGGGCATTTTTTAGAAATTGTTAGGCTAAAATTTAAAACAAAACTGAAAAAAAAATACAGACTGTTTATTGAGGTGCTCATTTTAGCCAAAATTTAAACACTTTTTGATTGTTCTTGTGTAAAGTTGGTTCGTTGCAA